CTAAACATCCCCTTTTAATAGGAACACCAGTCCTGTTGGAGTAAGGGTCATCCTCCTGACCTGATCACAGCTTAACTAATTAATCAGTAACAACCCTATTCCCAAAGAAAGTCACTGGGATGAGGTCCTGGGGGCTAGGTCTCCAGTATAGGAATTTTGGGAGGGCCACAATTCAACCCATAATAAGTAATAGAAGAGACTGGCAGCCAGAGGCTGGAAGCATAGTGGGCTTGCCTGGCAGCAAAAGGAATCATTTAACATTTGTGGTCACAACAAATGTTCAGCCTCAGGGGTGCGACTGCAGAGCAGAAAGACAATGAGATTAAGCCAAAAGTTGTGGCTTTACCTGGTAAGTTCCACAAGGGAATGAAGGACGTTATGCCAGTCGGTGATCACTATTATTTACCCAGGAACTGAAGCTGGAGAGGGGGGAAAGAGAGAACCTGCAGTACTAGGGAACAGAGAAAATGTGACAAGGCCAACGGATCAGGGGTCCTGGTGTGGGGGGGACAGGTAGTTGAAGTTGAGACACTTGAGAAAGGAAGCTGGAAAACGATAAGTGGTGATGAGAGAGTCAGGTGTTGTGGCACCGAAATACAATAGTGTTTGGTTATTGCTATTGTAATAGGGTGCAGCCAAGAGGGGAGCCCCAAATAGGGATTTGTAATAGGGTCCAGAAGAGCTTGGAGATAATTGGCTCCACACCACAGGGCCACACCTGCCCAGAATGCAGGCAGCTGTGGCCAATTGCGGGAGGAGCCAGAAATGGGGCTGCAGAGGAAGATTAGCGCTGGGATTTAAACGGAGGCACAGCAGCCATTGGGGTCTCTCTTTTTGGGACCACGCATCTGTTTAGGACCATACGTCTGTTTAGGACCACGCGGCTTTGGTGTCTTGGTTGGGACCATGAGGCTGGGGTGAGAGTCAGGACCACGAGGCTTTGGAAGTGCTCCCTTTTGCCATGTGGAGGGTGCTGGGAAGACTGTGTGCATTTGTGGGGGACTTCAGTTTGTGCTATTTCAAATGAATAATAAATTCCTTTCCTTTTCACTGATCTCTTGTATTAAGAGACATCTTGCCTCTGACAGCGGACATAACGGAACTGGGGGGTTCCTTTTGGGTAATAGTATATTGCCTCGGCTGCCCTTGGCCCCCCTTTTTGTACTGTAACACTATTACGAAGTTCAGAGTATGAGTAGGGAGTGAGTGGGCGAGGTAAGGGAATGGACAAGATCGTTGGAGGGGCAGAGGCCACAGCATTGAGAAGCCACTGTCTCGGAAGGGTCATCTGCATTGCTACGAATGAAGCTTTCACTCACTCATTCATTCCTCATCCAAAATATCTAGGTGCTGGCCAAAGGAGAGAATGGAGTTTCGGGGAGAACAAGGCTCCTGAACCCCACCAGGAGAGCCCCTGCCAGGCCCAGCCACACCCACCTGGGTTTAGAAGGTGCTCTTTGATTGGCCTGTGTCACGAGTATGGGAGCAGAAAAAAGAAAAAAAAACTTATTAAAGTTAACTTTAAAACTCCTTTTATACCCAAATAAACAATGAATCCAGAGGAAAATAAAAATCTCCTGCTCTAAACATCCTTCACTGCTTGTTTTAAAAATTATTATTATTCTTTGGCCTCCTCGGCGGCTCACATTCATTGCCCTGATCTATGCGTTTCCTGGGGATTCTATGCACTCCAAAATCTGAAGAGTAAGCAAAAATAGTGCTTCTGCTTAAACCCTTCACAGTTTATAGCCACATTTACATAACATTAAATAAGTCAACAAAGGCATCATTAGCTCCCATTAAAATATGAGCAAAGAAATTTAAACGAACAAGACAGGCTAATTGGTAAGTAATGTTGTGTATCAAAAATTATGGCTGTGAGATATCCCAGTTAATGAGAGGCCCTACAATCATGTTTACTACATATTTAAAAATTAAATGAAGGTGAATAAAAGTTAACGGAAGAGAAGATTCCCCCTTCACAGACGCTATTATATCTGTTTTTCAAAGTTAAAAATAACAGGGATGATTTCAGCCATCTCCCTCGACCAGACACCTCCATGTAGCGGATGTGATTTCTGCCTTGACTGCGCTCCTGGAGTTGGGCGCACGGAAGCCACGCCCCGTAGAGGGGGAGGCGGGACTCTCCGGTCCCAGCGGTGCCTGGGCCCCGGGCTGATCCCAGGCCTTGGTTGTTAGAGAACTTCCCCCCATGCCTTTCTCTCTGGGGGCTTGGGCCCAACCCTGGGCAGAGGGTGGCCTTCATGTCAGCCACAGGGGGAAGGCAAAGTGGCCCACGACTGCATGGCGGAGGGACGATGGTTCCTGACCGGATCACCGGAGGAGAAACGAAAACACGCCGATGCCCGGGCCCCTTCCAGACATTGAATCAGACCTGGGGGAGGGAGCCCAGGCGCCCGCACTTTAGGAAAGCGTCCCCACTGATTCTAAAGAGCAGCCCAGGCTAGAGCCCACTCTGCTAGTCCTCTCATGAACCGGACACCAGCCGCCAGCCGCCGAGTGACCACCCCAGGTGAGGCTCTCTCACGGGAACTTGGGCGGGTTGTGATTTTTCTATTTCCCAACATTCACTGTGACAGTTTTCACACCGCGAAGCTGAAATAATTTTACAGGGAACGTTATTTGCAGACCATCTAGATTATGCCATTAATGTCTCACTTTGCCTGGCTTTACCGTATACTTATCCTTCTAGCTATCCGTCAAGTCACCTGTTTTTTACACATTTCTCAGTAAATTACAGACATTTGTACAATTTCCCCTAAATACTTCAACATGCTATCATTAACTAGAGTACAATCGTTGTTTACTTTTTCTTTTGATGTAAACTTTCCAAAAAATAAAATGCTAAACTCTTAAGTGTACATCCACTGTGTTTGGAGAGGAGAATATGTCTATGTAACTCAGACTTTTATCAGATACAGCATATTAGGCAGGTTATTTTACACTTAATTAGAAGTCATCTTAAACATTTGCTATTTAAAGAGATTGCACAGAAAGGGCAGTACTTTATCCCAAAGAAAGACCACCTAATGGTAGAATTTCAGACACCGAGGCATTAAGGAGGAAATATTTGGGGGGATAGAAGAAAAGGGCCTCTCCAGCATCCCTTGGGTGATTCAGATGTGACTACGTGTTGAACCCAGACCACGCTGTGTAATGTATGCACGTGGCGGGTAGCGTGGCTGGGGTGGAAGCAGAGTGCCATGCCCAGCGTGTGTGTGCGTGAACATGTCGCAAGAGGATGCGGTTTTGAAACTTTGAGCTAAAGCTTAAGACACTAATATTTCTCTGAAGGTAGATGTCTGTATGTATATATGTGTCCTTCTGGCTGGCATGAGTCTACAATAATAGATAAGACTAAGGGCCCAAGAGAAGCCAGGTCACAGGCGGCACCGAGTGCCCCAGCCTCTCGCCCTAAACCCAGAGTTACCCAGCTGCTCAGAGCCTCCATGCTTGGGGTCATACGTGGAGAGCGGATTCTAAAGAGCATAATATGACTGGAATCAATGTCTTTAAATGCTAATGGCAAGAGGAAATGTCCTTGCTTCTAAACTCTGAAAACAGGGATTGATTTAATAAGCCATAAAGAGTTTCCAACCATGCACCCAACATTAAGTAACATTACCGCACTTGGAACTTCTCCCCTCCCACGTGGAAAGCCGAGCTCGCGGGCCATGACTCCAGCAGAGCCTCTGTATGGATCCTCTCGAAGGATGACTTCCCATCTTGTGGCCTCTGAGTTATAAGTCCTCTGCCTAAAAATTTGCCTGAATGTAACCTTCTCCTATGGTGAAAAGCTCTTTATTCTAGGTCTAATACATCTCTCTCTCTCTTCATGTAAATTGCTCCAGAAATCCCAAATCCTTACAAAGACTTAGTTCATTCATTGCATCATTCAATGTCCATAGTGAACAGTGATGGTTACTGACCACCTACTGTAGGCTACACACGGGGCCAGGTGCTGGGGGTGCAGCAGTGGACAGAGCAGGGGGGTGTCATTGCTCTTATGCAGCCGTATCCCACCGAGAAGACATTGCACAGCCAAGTAAACAATTACTTTCTTGCAGTGCTGATGATGGCTATGTGGAACTCACTGGGGAGTGTTTTGAGTGTGTTACGGAAGGGCTTGACTTTGTCTGTGGGACCTGGTGGGGTTGAGGAAAGGGTCCCCTGAGGACGTGCAGCTCGGTAAGACCTCAAGAACGAACTGAGTACACCTGGGTGCAGAGCGGAAGTGAGAGAGGCCATAGGTGGTACAAAGGCCCGGAGGTGGCAAAGAACAAAGCAATTGTCATGATTTAAAAAGAAGCAGGGGGGACATTGTGGCTGTTGTGGAATGAGCCACAATGTAGGAAGGTCACATGCAAGGCTGGTGGCCATAATAAGGAGCGTGTGTTTTATTATAATTACAGTGGGAAGATATACTTGTAAGAATACAAGTGAAGATATAAGGAAGATATTCTTGAAAGCATGTGGTTAACATAATCAGATATGCTTTTTTTAAAAAAAAAATCACTCTGGCTGGGTGTGGAGGTCAGATTGAAGAGAACCAACGTTGATACCCAGGACAAGTATTGTATTTTGGAGATTTGTAGTAATCCACTGGTGCAGGGGGTGGCCTGTGCTGGGGGCCCTGGAGGTGAGGAGGAGTGTCTGAGGGCCAGAGCAGCTCATTTGCCCCTGAGGGCTCTTGTCTACCATGTCCACCAGACAGCGGGACTCCTAATGCTCTGACTCACAAAGCAGATACAGGCCTTACTAATACGTAAATACAAATTGGCGTGCTTGGGAATAGTGTATGGCCTGAAAGACCAAGGAAAAGATTCTTTTACATTAGCCAGCTGCACTTCAGAATAACACAGAGACCTCTGTGAATCATTTCATGGTGTATTGAGCAAAGTTCTGTTTGCAATTGGCAAGTTGGGAAAATAAACGCCCGTGTTTGTTTTCACTTTCTATTTCCTTGGTTTGTCCAGAGACTCACAGACCAAACCCCAGGGTTGTCCTTGGAGACTGGGTAGGCAGAACTGGGCCCCCACTTTTCGAATGTCCCGTGGACATCAGCCACCGATTGCCATTAACTCCTGCGAGGACAAGGGCAGTTCTTGACGTCGTCCCAGCGTCAGAGAGGGCCAGCAGGTACGGACCTCTTATTGTGCGTTACTTATTCAGATGCTGACCCCGTGGACCCCTTGCCCCTCCAAAAACTGGGTGAATGCTGTGAGGGTTACATGAACAGAAGAGCTTTGCCTTTTCTGAGAAATGATACTCTACCAGTGTTTACCTACTGTCTCAGTCAAGGGGTGTGTGTGTATGTTTGTGTGTGTACGATTTACTAGGCCTAATCCAATTTGGGCGCCTGGTTCCCAGAGAGGACACAACCTGGCTGTGCATGAGAATTACTCAGAGGTCTTGTTAACGCCAGAGTTGGGCCCCACCCCCTGACTCAGAGTTTCTGGGTCAGGCCTGGGTTGGGGCTTGGGAATGTGCTTTTCTAACAAGTTCCCAGATGATGCTGAAGCTCCTAGACGAGGGACCACACTCGAGAACTGCTGGTCTATGCGACGTAGCCTGCAGATCAGCTGTGTTTAGTGAGCACCCTAGTCACCAAATGCCTCCTGCTGGCATGCAGTTAAGGTTAATTTAAGCTAAATCATCAACTCTTGGTAAATGAATGAATGAATGAATGAATGAATGAAGAGTGACCCAAGACATCTTGGCAGCATCTGGAATATTCACCTGGAACTGAACTGTATTTCTAGTGGTACCATTTAAACATGGTACGGCATGATCCCTGTGGGCAATGATTTTAAAGTCCAATTATTGCAAAGAAAATAGTCAAATATATAAGGACAACACGGGGATAACCTTTATTGTCGACTGACATATCTAAGGTCACTGAGTGCTTTAGGCATCTGGAAGAATAGGTCATTTCTGCTTTGTGCATGTTAAGTAAGTCTCTGATATGAAATGTTCGTGGAGTCAGTGACCTCATTCAGTTGTTCATTTACTGAAACTCTTATTCAACAACTATAAAGTGTTGGGTTGGCACAGGAGAGTTGGTGTAGTAAGAAGACTTATGGTTTATTACGTGAAAACTTTTCCCACGTGCTAGAATCCCCTCAAAGCTTTCCCATCATAGTCAGCTATCCAACAACTACTTGAGTACTTCTAGTAGCAGAAGACTCACTACCTCATGTGACAACCAATCTTTGAATTACTGCCGAATTCCTTCTACAGGGATGGAATCTTGCTCCCTGAATTTTCTACTGCTGGTCCTACTTGACCACCTGCATGGACAGCGGATGTTTCATTCTCCTCCGTGTGACAACCTCATTGGATAGTGGAAATGGATACAGCACGAAGGGGCAGAACATGGACACAGGACAGGTGGCCTGGCTTTGAATCTCAGTTCCCAAATGTACTGGCTACGTGACTGGGCAAATTCCTTAGCTTTGCTGTGACCCAGTTTACTTATCTGTAAAATGGGCATAATGTTATACCTCAAAGAGATGTTTTGAAGGTTAAAAAATGCACTACTTGCCATGAATTTAGAACAGGGTCTGCCATATAATTAATGACGAACAATACTGTTACTGTTACTCTTATTATTCTTCTTGGTAAAGAGGTCTCTTGTCCTCTCAATTTTAGACTAAGCATCCCTATCTCAGACCCAGCATTGCTCCTCTCACCTCCTTGGTCTCTCCCAGAGCCAAGCGGCTTAGACCCCTCTCACTCGCGAGATCTGAGCAGAGCCCCACACTAGGAGCTTGTGTCCAGCACATGACAGAGAAGGACTATCATCCCCACTGTTCCCAGTTCAGCTTTATGATAGGAGCGGCAATAATAATAACAAAAACACATTGTCTATTATATGTAAATACTATATGACACTCTGTAAATATATCATTTCTCATTTCTAGGATAGCCGCGAGGTTGCACAGGGACATGTCACTGAGAGACAGAGGAGCTAGCATCCAAACAGATCCTCGATCTTCAGAGGGGAGCCTCGTGGCATCCCCGTGCTTCCTCCTCGGGTGCAGGGAACCACCTAGGAACGCGGGGCCCCTGACTTTGGCAGGCAGGGCAAAGCCATAAAATGAGCTGCAAGCCTTGCCGCCCTGGGTGGAGAGAGTGTTCAGATTACAGCCTTATTTATTCATTGCTGCAATAGCTGTACTCTCTCTGATCTTTCTCTCCAAGTCTCTTGGGTTGAGCAAAGAAAACACTCTCGGGAAGAGCATAATAAAGCCCTGAAACCATTCAGAGGACCAAGCCTGTTGCATTTCAAACCAAAAAGACGGGAAAGTTCACACAAAGAATGCAGCCCATTGGGCGTTACCCTCTCATGCCATCCAGGCATTAATGGGTTCACATTATAACTATTCTTACCGTTGCTGAATAGTTGGTAAAAATAACCATCACCTCCAATCAGCACTGCCTGTCGTCAGCAGGGACTGTTCCGTGGGTTCACACGGCAGCAGCTGCCATTTACTGGGCCCTCCCTCTGTGCCAGGCTCTCTGCTGCGTGCTGTGCGCCATCCCCTCTCTATGGCAGGAGTGAACCCAGAGAGGGCACAACTATGACGGTTCCCTTTCTCGGGTGAGGGAGCCAAGATTCAGGCTGGTTATGAGCCTTGTCCCACAGGTGGCTAAGCTCTGGGATGTCCGATCTTCGTTGCGGCCAGTGTTGTATCTTGGTGCTGTGGGTACATAGTTCCGTTTTTCTCTGACTAGCTGCCCAGGAGTCACCCCAGCTCCACACATCCCACGGCCACCATGACCAGGGAGGCACCAGATGGAAGCCAGAAGATTCTCGGGGGCTCTGGGAGTGGCCTTCCTGTCGGGAGCACTCGACCACCACCCCTTAAGCTACATATGAGGCTCACAGAAAATTCTTAAGGAAGGACTTGGCTTTCCCAGAAGAGGGGGAAGCCAAATAGTAGTAAGCACAACTCCATGCTCCCAGAAAGAGCACACTGTACATATACAGTACTGTCATGAGGAGCACGCCGTCAAACCCTCAGGACTACCCTGTGGGGAGGGTCCCGGCCTCTCCGCTGATAAGTGGGACCCGGAGGGCGTGAGGCCGGCCGGGGGGTGCTTACAGGTTTCTCAGCCAGAACGAGGCAGGGGCGGGACCTGTGCTTTAGAACCTTTGCTTATTTATTTTTCCTTTGTTATCTTACTATTTAGCTTTTAATTTAAAATGAAAATATACATAACTAAAAGCTTGAACATGCTAGAAAAAAAAAAGAGAAACTATAAACAAGCCAAGAGAAAAAAAATGTCAAACCACCCAAATCTCCCATTCCAAGACCACCTTTGTTAACATTTTGGTCTATTTCATTCCAGACATTTTTTTTCAAAGTACATATTGTATACACTTTTTTAAAAGAAAGAGATATCATACACAATAGTTCATGGCCTGTTTCTTATTTCCCCCTCAATTATTATGTCTGTGTTTCCATGTTAGCATTTATGAGGCTGTATATATAAACCTGTTTCACAGCCCATCCTATCCCACTCTTCCAATGTCTTAAAATTAAACAGGCGGGCCTCTTCCTTCCACTTTCTGCTCTCTCCAAGGCCATTCGGGGAGCGATGGGCCAAATAAAACAAAAACAAAATAAAAAGTAAAACTTTTCCTTTCCAACAGTCTTAGCGGGAACCTTAAATCTCCCCCCACCCCGCCCCAAATTCCACTCAGACACGAGACAGGCTCGGGTGTAGGGTAGCTCCAAGCTGGAATGTACTATGAATTCAGAGAAGCGTCTTAAACGCAATCCAAGCCCGGAAATCACAAAGGGTTTCCCATTGCCTTCTTCGGACAGGGTTTCGTGTTTGGTAGGACAAAGAAAGGGCTAGCGTTACTGTATTCTGACCGTGCAGATAAGGGGAGGTCTGCAGTCTTAACTAATGACCCCGAGCCTTTGCAGTGGGTGAGGGGAGAATCCCACCTGCTGACTCCAACTCGCCCCAGAAGAGAAAACCACCCAGCCGCCAGCCACTGACGGAGACCTTTCCCAAGCTCTCCCCTTACCGGGCATTGTCACAGCTATAACTGGATCACTCTCCCCGGGTACGTCCAGGCCCTGCGGGCTGCCCCAGGATAACACTTGTCATTAGAATGCAAAATGCCCACTTTGGAGGGTTGCCATTCTCTGCCAGATCAGATGAAGCTTTCTCTTTAAAGAAGGAAAAAGAGAAAAGAAAAGAAGAAGCAAGGGGTGGGGGAGGGTGAGGAGAGAAGAGATCCATGGGGTTAAGCGTGTATGGGGAATGTGGTAAGTGAACTGGCCGCGGGTACTTGTTTAGGGGTGTCTCATGGCTTCCATTTCGGGCCCATGTATTCGTTTGTCCCCACCTTCCTTGACTGCGTGAGAGAGAATGTCCAAGGGAAGCACCCTTGAGTGCCCTGAACCCGTGCCAGCGGTCACAGGTGCCCGACAGCAGGGCTGGACTCCGGAGAAGGGCGGGTGGGCTCTGAATGGCTCTGGGAACCCACTCCCTCCCTCCCTCACTCCCTCACTCAGACCTCCGATGATTTGATTCTCTTTTCCTGAACTGCTATTTTGGTCCCTTTGCCATCTTCAAACTCTATTTCCTATGGTAATTATTACATTTCCTTTATTTTCAATGTCAGCTTATTTTCCAAGGGGGGAAAAAAAATCATACAGCACAGCTAAAAGGAGCCCAAATAGAACAATTTGTTATATTAAGCAAATACTTATTTGCATAATAGTGACTCCCATTTCTATATCAGCACAGCGGCAAAAGCAACAGCATTCCTTTCAGAAGGATGTAGTGATGCTGGATCTTTTGTCTTATTGGGGATCTCCAGCCAGGGGGGAAACAGGAACCAGCTTTCCCTCTGAGGCCCATGTCCACCTGCCAGTGGAGGACTGTACCTTCTTTCCCACGGCCCCTCAACGTACTCTTCCAGGGGAAAATTTTAGACAAGTTTTATAGATTAATTTTTACCCTAAAGTTACATGTAAGGTTTTTTAAAAATAGTTTAAGGTTAAAAATAAACTGGAAACCAGAAATGTGAGGACTTTTTTATTCTCTGGAAAATGGGTCTCCAAAAATAGGCTCAGTTTATTCTAAATAAATATTCCTCCTAATAATTCTCTAAAGAAAAGCCTTTCTACAGATAAACCAAAAGGACGTGTGTTTGTTTAGAGGAGCTCTCGTTACGACATTGCTTGAGCCTCGCTTGCACACAGAATTACGCGGGAGGTGGGTCTGCCCTAGGTCCCTTGAAACAGGAGTTTATAAGAGCTTCAGAATGTGAGGTTAAAGGTATGTATATTAATTTACATAACATTGAAGAACTTTCTTCATTAAAACGTGTAAAACCTTTATTACACGTGAACTCAGTGTGATGCCACAGATAATGCTCTAAGAAGGGATTTTGCTTTCATGGAGAAAAAACAGTGTCAAGATCATGTCATGTTCGTGGACACATGACAAATTATACCATCTCAACTGAGAACCAGTGTTTTCTCAGTTAGAGAATCTACAGCTTCCCGATCCAGGTTCCCGGTCATTAATAGGAAAATATTTGATAGCAGAGGTGACCTGAGATCGACTCTTTCAGGACTCGAGCACACAACTGTAATTTGAAGAGCTTCACTGTTTACAACTTGGGGCATGCAGTCCGACCTGGGGGGACACCCCAGCTCTGTCTCTCACAGCCGTGTGACTTGGACCCGAAACCTGACCTCTGGGAACATCACCTTCCTCACCTGTAAAAGAGAGATCAGGAAAATGCCCATACACCAGGGGTTGCTGGGACTCTTAAATAGATAAAATACGAAGCGCTTAGTGTGGTTCCTGGCACATACTAAGTGTCAACCGACAGCATTCATTGCTAATGTGTGTGCTACATTGCAAGAAGGCTTCCCAGTGTGTGGGAAGGCCACACCATGAATGAGAAATCCAGGGGCTGGGATGGAAGAGGGAAGTGCTGGATGCAGGATGGGAAGGGCTGGCGATGCAGAAATCCATTTTAATTGCAACTTGACACTAGAATCGTGACCTCCCAAAGTGGCAGCATGATCTTTTGTCACCAGAGCCTCCATTAGTCAAGAATGGGACTTGAAAGTAAGGCAGTTCCTTTCATATTATCCGCTGGCATGCCTTGGGGATCTTTTTCTTTTCCTCTAGAATCTTCTGCTAAAGTTACAGAGTTTATGGTTCCCATAATGCACATGTACAGTATCTATTTCATTTAATTTGCTATTAACACTTACAGTTTCACTTACTTCAACACAGCTGGAAGGACTGAAGTCAACCATCTATGGTAGAATTGGAATGTAGCTATTAGCAGTTTTCTTTGCAAACCCGTCCCGCTCTCACCTATCTTGCGTCTTGGCACAAATTCCACTTGATACACAATTATTAAATGTGAACTTACACCACGCAGGGTCTCTGCGCTTTGCCCAGCAAATCTGGTACTTAGAATGTCTTTGTTGTATCCCATGCATCACACAAGGGTATAAGAGACTTTTGTAAAAATAAGCCAAGTAAGCAACAATAAGAAAACAAATTCCTCACCTCTGTAAGTAAAATTTAAACTTCAAATTTTCTTAAATGTGAATAAGTGAAATAATTGGCAATTTTTTTTCTAGTGCTGGCTTTCATGGTGCTGGAACTTCCTGTTACAATCAACGTGTTTTTTGAGACCATATCTATGTAAGAAAGAGCCGTATGAGTTCTGGTTGCAGAAAGGCAAAAGACTGACCTGTCCTGGGGCCTCACACAAGCTGGAAGTGGAAAACCATGCATTCAACAGGCGTCTGCATTTACCATATTTCTCTTTCTGTGAACATGTCGTTTTACATCCTTCCCTCTTGGTAGGTAACTTGATGAAAATTTTCACTTCTCTGTGCAGATTGGCTTTCTCTGCTAACCCTCCTGTTTGCAACTGGCTAAAAAAGGCCACCCCTTCCCCCCTGCACGTGACCTTTCAATTCAGAGACCTGCCAGTGTCTCTGCTCTTAGTTCAGATTTTCAAGAGAAGGGGAAAGTTGGATTAGTCATCACCGAATCCACGGACCCGCTCTCGCGGGTCAAGAGTCTACTCTGATCTACACAGCTGTGAAGGAAGAAAGGTAACATGGTACGAACCCAGTGGCCTAGACTCAGCACTCACGAATGTGTCATAATGAAGCCACCACATCAACGGTCTCACTTCCCTTCTCAACAGAAAGGCTACCCATTGGCCGTGAGCACGTGTGATG